CCCCAAAACCCCAAAACCCCAAAACCCCAAAACCCCAATTTTTTTTAACTAAATTGAAATACAATTAGTTATAAATGAATCAGGTAATTTATATGAGCTAGGCAAAGAGCCTTTGCGCTCAGTATGAATATAATTTAGAGCCATCAGCATGATATATACCGACTTATTTTTATTCTCATTAAAAAGAAGAGCTTAACACTAACTCCAAAGCTTGATGTTTATTTTCATTATTACTTAATTACTTATCTTTGTGCTAGACTTACAAAATATGTATAGAGTGCTTCTAAATCATCAAAGCTTTACAATCTCACAAGTTTTACAAATTCATCACATTTTGATAGTGAAAAGACTGTTAAAATGGAAAGCGTGTTCAAATTAGGCAACCCTCAGCACGAAGATGCCAAAGTGTACTCCAACGATATAGTCGACGGAATCTATAGTGAACTTAGAAATACTTACAATAGCTTGCACCAGACTAAGAATAAATAAGATCTTTAACCTCCTGAGGAAAGGAAAGTTCATGAAAAACATAATTTCCTTACCTCCATCTATAAAAGTGTCACCTAAAAGAGCTAGTGAACATAGTAAATGTTCCCCTGATTATGTAGATGAAGAAAGAATTTTCAAGACAGATATTTAAAAAATCAGCCTCTCCTATACCCCAAAAGTAAAAATACTCACAACACCCAAAACCTTCACCTACACACATTCCCTACAATTCCCCACCTCACATTCCTCTAAAATCCCCATTCCCACCCCCAAAACCCCCAAAAATCCCCTCCAATCCTACCTCTACCTTCCCAACCCATCCCCCTTCACTCCTTCTTCCCCACTCCCCTGCCTAACAAAACTTCTAGGCCCAAGAAGAAACCAATCCAGTTAAAAATTAGGAGGAAAATATTACCCCTGAATGCTGTACAGGCTAAGGTCGGAAAGAAGAGGGGAAGGACTCGAAGTGGTAATATTAAATCAAATATCTAACTCTAGGTGTTCAGAGAGTTTCGAAAGTTTGAAATAGCAAGACTAGAATGCATACGATAGACAGACAAAAACTAGCAGTAAGCTTTCTAAAAAATGAATATTCATTGTTTTATCACAATTAAAATGAATTCTTCGCTCTTAGAAAATTTCAGAAATTTTACAGTGTTTAGGACATCAACTTGACCAATATTGCAAAAGGAAATAGGAAAGATAGAAAGAAGTAAATTATGAGATAAATGTACAGAGAGAATTACTCAGATCATTTAGAAGTGAAGTTCACCTCTTTTTTTGGCAACCAAAGGGGAGCGAAAAGTCTTGATCGCTGGAGCAAACCAAAGCCAAAGCGTCTAAACATATCAGTCGATGCACAGTACTGCAACACTAAGAGATTAAGCGGTTTAAAACTAGCATTTGAGAAAAGTGATCCCAAGCTGAAGTAAGTAATACTAAATATTTTAATTAGAATTTTTATGGCTTCTTTAACATCACTAAATTTTCATCATTATTCTAATTTAATCATTCATTTTATAAAGAAGTCTAAGAAAGAAAACAAAAAGTAATAAACAGAAGATATACTCAATAATAAGAAACTGTCAAGAGATTGAAGGCAATGGAAAATAAGGTTATCAGGAACATTGATGACGAGCAAAGTATCACAAATATCTACAAGTAATTTCCCAATACCAGTACCTTATATCTTTCAATAGCCAAGGCTTTAATAAGACTTGCCAAATTCTTCAAGAAGTAGACTTTGCTGAAGGCAAAGTAATGGAATTGCTCTATCAAAAGAGACAGGAAGATATCAATGAAGATATAGACCTAGCAGACCAAATTGCTAAGGAATACAGAACAGGTCAATGGAAATAAAGAATCAATAGTTCATGATATTCAATAAGGTTTATATCAATAGGGGTTTTGGGGTTTTGGGGTTTTGGGG